CGTACTTACCGTAAATAGACATGGCTTAAATTTGTAGTTGAATCAAGTTAACCGAAACGCAAACGGAGTAAAATGCAATCAGTGTGTGCCACAAAGTTTGAGATTACGAGAAGAATCCCGTGAGGCCTAGACGGATATATACTATTTGCTGTGGTATTCACGCTGATCAAGCACATTTGATGCTTGTTAAGAAACTTCCACTGGATAGCCGTAGGCGAAGACAAGTTCACCTGAAAGCCACGCACCTCAAAGAGTTGACAATAAAAAAATGAACGACTGATAGCCTCTACCACTGATGTACTAATAGAAATATCATGTTGTTCACCCTTGATTCATGCGACAGGACTGATACTAGGTGGCCCACGGAGACCATGTTCAATATTACCTAAATTTAGATGGCGAATATATGCCTTTTTCATACGTCGATGATTACCTGACGAGTAGCTTACTTGTAGGAAGCACCCAGATTCAGCCATCGTACTGTGTTTGGGAAATCTCCTGCCAGCATTTTGCTCTCTACTATTTTCGAATTAACCCCACCTCCGAACCGGTACTGGGTTATTTACTTGGAAAATTTGTTTTTATGTCCCCAGCTACCACTGACCATTTTCAAACACGGCACTACGGTGTGTACAACATACACAGGATGTGAGTGAACAAAGCCAGCCACTGTCCTCCAGTTAGTCTGAATCATTTCAAGAAATTGTTTATTTTGTCTAACATGGTAGAAAATAGAACTTTTCCCTCGACAAGTATGCGACGGTTGCCCCAACTGGGCTGGTGACTCATTCGGCTTGTCAGCCAGAGTATTGCATGAACATAGCAAATTGGAAGACACGCCCAACGGACCGTTATATCTCGTGTATTTGTGTGTGTACTGTGTACTGAGTGAATTAGTTGACGTTATCATCAGTGGTACTGGTGTAGGTAGAGTTGTTTCACTCCGATGTCAATAGCTTTATGGGCAAGTGGAAACACGGTAAATTTGGAAGCAACAGACAGACAAAAACGTAATCTGAGTATAATTTCAACCCAAGTGGTTTTACCGTGTTTTCGTCCACCTGTATGCTGATTGTTTATCTGCCCCTCTTCCTTTCTCATTCACTATCAACAAACCGGGTTCATGGGATTGAGACAAATATTCGGAGCCCAGAAAGGTTATGGTCTTTGATTCAATAGCTACCCATTGTGTAATAGTTAAAAAATGCACCCTATGAATAGAACACGAAAATCAATAATGACCACCTGGTATCGCCATTCAAACCAGAATACCCGCATTTCCATTGATGGTCATCAAATATTTGCGAAACGGCGAGCTTGAGCGGGCAGTAGGCTCCGGGTAAGCAAAACCGTGCCAAATTATGTTCGAATGATAACATAGACGCGAGTTATTCCGTAAAGGAATATGCAGTGTTGAGTTTGATATAAAATTTCCGTGTCACTTAGACGTAATAGATTACTCACAAGGCTTCTAAACTCTCTTCGGTAACCTACGTTTGGTTTCGCTATTCTTCGATCTCATCAGGTAGGCACAGCCCGCGAGTTTCCGTCAACCCAATGTTCAACCCGAACCCAAGCTCAACGAAATCGTGCTTATGCACTTATCTGCATCTTCGGAACTCAGGTGAATCTCTCATTCATGCCGCAATTTGATGTGTTGCAACAGGCCACCTCGTGTTTCAGTTGGTACGATATTGGAAAATTCGTACTACATTTTACAGACATAACACCTACTCGGAAACCTCGTGTTTCAGTTGGTACGATATTGGAAAATTCGTACTACATTTTACAGACATAACACGCTACTCGGAAGGTTGCTGAAAACTCATCGACAGGCCAGTTTTCAGTGACCTTATCAGCAGTGTGTATATCCATTTTGATATGGTTTAAATGCTGCAGACTGGTTTGCCACTTGGCTTATTCACTGTTACATTCAGACATGTGTTGGTTTGCTTTGGTTTGCTTGCGTCTTGGTTTTGAATAGGTGGGGCGCTGGTGCACCGTTGCTCGTCTTAGTTGGCTTAAGGACATACCACTGTTATTTCTTTTTGGAGAATTCTGTAGGCCACTACCAAAATAGTTGCGGCTTTATTTTGTCCAACTCTTCCCAATTATTGTCCACCTCAGTCATCGTTCTAGTATACATGGGTGGAGCTTCTCCCGGAGCTGTATAGATAGTCCCCTTCAATACATCAAACCGACTAAAAATAGAACAACCAAAATATTTCAGCTTCAGTTCATAAGGTCCACTCAGGGAGCGTTGTTCTTCTTCATGTTACTCAAATTACGTCAGTAGAATGTGTTTTCAGTAGGCCTTGATTTATAAGTCGAGACTCGATGATACAATTCAAGTAGTTTATTCGGGTCACAAAAATAGAGTCACACCATTATTCTCAAACCATCATTCTTATTCGATCGATCTAAATCAGAATTTTACCAATCCAACCATTGATTACCAATGAAGAGAAATATCTTTTCTAGCCACTGTTGGTCAAAATAATTAGCCACAACTTGTGGTTATGTCAGACGCTCCGTGAACTCCAGGTTCGGAACTACTGCTATGAAGAAGTTTGTCTTTTCTAGGATTTAATTCCTATTGTTGTCGATATCTTGATAAATTTTTGATTCTTTTGACTCAAGCCGCTCAGAAGCCCATTTATTTCCATCACAGCATTTGATATGGTATGATATGGTCTCGACTGCACACATAAACTTCACCAGCTGAGCTGTGACCATTAAGTGACTGAAGGTTAATCAAATGGTCGATAAAAATCTAGCGCTCATACGAAAGACGCGGCATCTGTGACTCTTCAGCTGTGTGTGACCAGGCCACTGCAGCGACAGGGATGAACGCTCTCAAACACAGAGTGTGTCGGGGTCACGAAATCTCCTACAAACAGAGTTAGCACAATGGGCTGCTGACGGGAGTTAATGAAGAAAGCACCCTAAGAGCAAAATGCTTCTCCCTGCACCTTTCGTTTTCGGNCTCCCCAAAAGAGATACCTTTTGACATTTCCCTACAAGTCTTGTCTCCATAGGTGTACAATAGTGTATCTTTCTGACCGAGATAACGAACAGAATATCGTTAAATATTATGGTGGGTTTCAGAAGCGGACGTGCCGGTTATGATTCATGATCGGAGTATTGAAGCTAGATAGATTTTATCACTGCACGCTTACACCATAAATTAACAATGAGAAAAGTAGTTTCCACGCAACTACTTGGACTAATTGAGTGCCTCCTTCCAATTCCCTTGTATCGTATCGAAATTTCCCGGCACGAGCTGTATCTCTAATACTGCAAATCAATTAGTTTGACCGAACTTCAACTAGGAGGTGGATATATTGAATTTGGTGAGATATCTGTGAGCACAATCGAGCATTTTCACCCACGCCCACTCTTGTCCAGCTGATCGTAGACGGCAGAAACGTGCAGAAGGCTTGCAAACCACCCATATACCTGAATTTTTTTATTCCAGAAGCAATGCGTCGCATTACTCGTGTAACCTTTTTTAACATTATACACCTCGTATCACAAACCCTTCAAACCAACGGAATTTGGAAGATTCTGTTATCTGAAAGTAGGGTATGTGCTCCCCTTGTTAGATTGTTGCCTAGATAACTGGCTGTCCACCTGTGGCCAGCAGATTCGAATTTGCACAATCTCGAGATACCTGGATGACCAGACAGCTTGGATCGATAACCTGAGCGAAAGGGAACGGTATAGACAAACCTGGTCGGATGCTGTCCACCGCGTAGGCCATTCATGCCGGCTGCTTCACCGGTGTGTCCGGATGTCCATCCAGCAGCGGCCCACAATTGGAAGAGACGGTGCGTGCCCGGTTAAAACCGCGTGGCATTAAAATAGGCTAGCCCTCCTTGAAAGCTGGACAGTGGTGGCCGTGCTTAGCGCGGCGGCTTAGAAAGTATGACACAACAGTCCAGCGAAGCAGTTTCTGGCAGTCTGTTACGGTGCCGAAAGTCCCAGATACTTTTATTGTTCACTGTATTAAGCTTTCTACTCAGCAATCCATGTACAGTTACGGGTGAGTCTTATCTGTTTGAATGTCTATAGTAAGTGCATTCATCTTCATTGTGTTTATCGGTCACTCATAGGTATGTTGTTATTGCTTTCAGTATTGACGTAGCAGAACTATTTTGTTGGAAAATATGAAGGTCTAGCGCCCATATGTCGCAAATTCGACTTGAGTTGCTTGTGACTTTAGCCGGATTTGACAAACTGTTAACTCTGCTGTCTACCTAAGAAACTGGTAACCCAACGAGGGATAAAATGTATGGTTGCTGAGGGAGTATCCACGATATATGAGCGAATTCGAAAGACAACTTAGTCGCTATTCATACAACAGTAGCTTTGACAGTTGATTGGCTGAACTTCGTTCTATAGATGGGCTTGTAAATGCGACTAAATACGATGGGAAAAGTTTGCGCGAGGTGGTACCGTTCGGAGCATAATGTAACGACGGTACGTTCCTTTAGTCTTTCCCCATGGGACAATTACTGTGACTGATAAAAGTGTTACCAACTGTGTCGTCCCTTCTTATTTCGCTATGTGGATTCCTAACCGATACTTTTTACGCTTTGAAACGTTTACTTCTTTCTTCTCCTGGTTTGTTAATTCTGCAACTGTACAAGCTCAACGAGACGTCGAGAACGAAGTCACCTATCAAATTCTCTTGTTTTCTTATCATCGCTTCCCTAGAGAAAATAGGTTTTTTATCTGAGGACCACCTACAGTCAGCTTTATCCAACACATCCTGTAAACTGATTTGATAAGGCTTTCATCTTCATGTCCACTTACGGTAGCCGTCTGCTTCGCTTTAATCGGGGATTGTTTTATCCACTACCAAAAAAGCGATGTTTGCTTTTTACGACGCGGTAGAAGTTATGCGCTTTACTCTAGGGAGAGGCCAGTGAGTTACCCTGGAGTTACATCGCAGGTTACCATTCCAGAGGAGAAGACTCTGAATACTGGTCACAATCATTTCTTCATGGAGCCTCCGTTCTTGAAAGACCTAGGCCTGCAGTGGCAACAGTGTACGAGGGAAATTGTGCAAGTCCTATGGCTCTTATCCCCACCACCCTGATTCGAACAACTTTTCAGTTGTCCTCGTGCGGTTATTTTGCTTAAACCATACCAAAGGACGAAGGTACTGGATTCAAGTTTCGAACTCATTTGAGCTCAAGTAGATTTTCTCGGCGGTACTGGGACTTGAACTCCTTTAATTTAACGCGCGCAGAATTCTAAGGGCTAAATGTCCCCCAAACTATGCACCCTGATCAGACAAGCATGTTCAAATTCTAGTGCTTGATCTGAGGCTTCATAATGATGACCCTTATTTTGATCAAATGAGACGTTTGTCCAGAATTTCCGGTTGGATAACAACAGCGGCGCTTGAAAACTACGGGCTAGTTTGTTCCGATTACTTGTGATTTGTTTCGTGGGAGTCTTGTTCAAAATCGAATAACGAGGATACAAAAAATCCTTCTGAAAGGATACAAGACATTAAACAGCATGAAGCACTAAATAAGCAACGAGGAATTGAGTCATCTACTGGGATCAGCAGAAATAATAGTAAAAAGTTTAAACGATCCTCGAACTATCGAGTGCACACAACTGGTGATGCTTGCTGGTAAATCAAACAAGAAATCCAGAAAAAAACCTGGGTGGTTTTAGTATAGTTTCCGCGTCTGATAAATGTTTTCTACGGAGGTGAGATGGCTCAGATACTGGAACGCGGATTTACTAACCGGAAAGCTTGTGGTCCGAACCAGACCTCTGCCTCTCGACTTCTCCTGTCTGGGCTTGGGCAGCCTGGCACTATCCCAGTCCTCGTGCTCCCTCTGGATGGCACGGCAGTCAGGAACCGAAAGGATGTTACAACTGAACGATTATTATTTATTTAAATGTTTACTTCGCTCTTATTGCCCCTGAACGTGGTCAAACAGTCCAATGGAAAACATGTACTTCCTCATGCCCATACAGAACACCTCTGTGCGATACACAAAATCTCGCTGACAGGGGATGTTTACTATGCGAGATATATAAGAAGTGGACCTCTCTTTGAGAAAATGTAGTCTTTTTTGAGGTTTCATTTGGTTAGGGTTTGTTTGCTCCAGATGTTCGCTCCCCTTACGCATGCGTGATTCAGACGTATACTGGTGCATCGGGGCTGCATGCTTGTGGTGAACACACAACACCCCGTCTCAGAAAATATAGGAATATCGTGCGTGATTCAGACGTATACTGGTGCATCGACAAGTCAGGGCTGCATGCTTGTGGTGAACACACAACGCCCCGTCTCAGAGAATATAGGAACATCATTTAATGTGCAGCTATACTACGTAGTGCAAAACATTCGAAAATGGCATACATGAATATGATAACTTCTAGGTCCTGTGTGTTGTGTAACATTTCCATAATAGTTTGTTTAATTACGTTGATTAGAATGCGAAAAATGGGGTAGATAAGAGGACATTACCTACTACTTGTAGTGCTGTACCCAGGAAATTAAGCCTCCATCGGATATCAAGATTTGTTGTAAATAACCTTTTGCTTGATTTGACCGATCATTCGCTTCTTGAAGGCAGCTCGTTTGACGATCACCTTGTCTCTAATAACACCGACGATTCTTGGGTTCAATGACTTCGTGCCATTCTTGCATGCATTTCCTTGATCCCTTTCCTCATCTTCCACCATCCATTGATCTTCTTCTCTCCATCCATATGTATACATTTATACATATATACATATATATGTATATATAATACACATTGTCCACCATTAGGAAGGCACGTCTTAGTTTGGGCCACCTAACACGCTTCTGGCACACTCAGATGGAAATTCATCCAAGAGGAATACAACGACTCATTTGCTCTGCCTACCTAACGCACTACGAGGTTGTCCTAATTCTCCATAAGGGACGACTCTTGGATGACTCAAATTAAACACGTGATTTCTGAGACTACACTGTTTCGTTTTTGTAGTGTGATAATAAAATACAAAAGAGCTGTTGCTACACTCGATATCTGGTGTTTCTGATCTCAGCGGCGTTTTGTGATCTCCAACATTAGTGAGACTGGAAGATTTCCACATCGTTAAGCTTGCATGAGTTTTATATGCAGTGTCTATAGAACTATCGCGCGAAGATGTGCTTTTCTCTGGTCTTTTACTGCAATTATCATGAACGATTATCTTGATCTGTGCTGTGCGGGTTTTTTCCGTCTGGATCCGATAGGACCGTCTGAAACTGGGAACAATTTCGGAATACTCTACGGCATCGTTCACCTCAACCGCGTAAGAACTTAAAGTCTTCTGGGTTAAAAGTTCAACGACTTTTTCTCCACAAATATGCATTTTTCAGTTCCACCTGTCGGGTGAGAACACCTCTAGGAAGATGTCTTTCTGGCCGGTCCTCTGAGGTGGTCTCAAGACGAAGAAAATCATATATACATATACATATATATATATATATATATATATATATATATATATATTCAGTTAACTACATTTAATACATTTAATAGGATAATATCTACTACGACATAAGTATAGATCTCAAGTAAACAGCCCACAAATCGAGTGATGCAGAGCTGCTTGGTTCAGTTCGGTTTCAGTGCAAAACGGTTAGTGATCGTCACTTATTTATAGCTTGATTATCGGTAACCGATTTCCCAAAAGCTGGTATGATGTGTGAAATAGTGCNTGAAATAGTGCTGCACAGATTAGAGCAAAAGCATATATGACTGAATATCTTGCCTCCAAAACAGCTCCACCGGTCCACCATATCGGATCCAACGGACGCCTCCAAACATTACATAAACCACTGGCTGTTGTTGTGAAGCCCAAGTTGGTTCTATGGACAAGCCACTGTGTAAACCCGAGGCAATGAGACCAGAGCACACACACAAGGACCTACTGGGAGCCACTAACAAACATAAGCTTGATAGCAGAAACTGAACACCAACATTAGTTCTTTTACTTCCGCCAATTTTTTCAAGTACCAGTGGAAGACCACATTCTGCTCCAATGAATTACTAAAACCTTGCTTCCTGGCAGATGTTAGTCACCGCTCTATTTAAACAGGACTACCGGTAATAACATCTCGGAATGTGTTGGTTACTTAATAGGGTGATGATTAGAAATGGGAGGCAGTTAGCTTCCCCGTCTGATGTTGTCTATCATTTCCTGTGGAGAAGGGCACTAAAGTGAGGTCTTTACACTGTCTTTGAATAGTTTAAGCTTCCTGGATTGTGCAAATCAGGCCATTGTCAACTCGATCCAAACAGTTCGATAGGTTATCCGTTTTCTCCGGTAATCTTTCAGTTTTGTGGTCCAGTTGCTGCCCTTCGAGGTTCAGCCTTCTCAGGTCTACTGGAAATTCCCATCCTCTAAAGTAACTGAGGAAAATAACTCGAATAATGCTGGATAGTTTTTCGAGTAAAGTTGAGAAATTTGCCTCCCAAGGAATCAGTATATCTTTGGGCATATTCGACTTCCAACCAGTCCATGTGTCCCTTGTCTTCTGAAGCTATCAATTTTTGGTCAGTAGATTCACTTCAGTGCTGAAAAATGAATTCCTCGTGACATCACTGGTTTGTGTATAATATTTGATCCCGTGAATTCTATTAACTGATCGTTAGTTATCCCGTCTACCGAGATCGCTAAATTTATTGCCCTTAGATTGAAAAGCTAATGTAACTGGCGAACCCTGAGGCCTTCTTCATAAGAGCTACTCTCCTCCAATTGACCACAGAAGAAACAATGTGTCATTAAACTTCATAAAACTGACCCCGATGTCTTTCTAACACTCTCGATATTAGTGATCTCAACTACAGTCGTTTTGATAAGGTCCTCATTCTGGGTCCATTGATCTTTCAATGTGTCATTCAACCTGTGATGCTGACTGATCCAGTTGCTGCTTGAATTTAGGGAACACTTACATTGCCCCACAAAAAGATGGGTCTTCCAGGAGCACTAGAAAGCGCCAGTCCACTGTCCGTTTCGCGGGGAGGGGTATTACGCGCAACCTTTTTTACAATGGTTTCTCTGGGAACAAACACACGAACAAAAGTGTTCAAACCCCTCTTGTCAGCCATTATCCTTTCACTGATGCTGTTGAGTTCGTCCAGTATTCTTTTGTTCAACTTATCTGCGTTTGCGAATCCGTTTCTGCATTCTCTTCGGCTGTTTTTTTTTAATTCCCACTCCACCAGGCCCTGTAGATAGCTTTCTGTGTCTTTCCTTGGTTGATCAACAGAATTTCGCTGACAGTTGCGTTTCAATGACTTAGTATTAAGAACTATGCCCTTCGGGTCAGCCAGTTCCATCCTAGTTGAGGGGAGTTTTGATGCTTCTGACTCCGAGTCGAAGTTGACGTGTTTTTGCTGTTCTGCGTTCGTGACCGCTAACCGGTTCCATTCTTAAAAACCTCATGTGTGTTCCTGATTTGTTGGGATAATTATCATGGTCATTCGGGCTTCCATTTGCTGAACAGTTATACAGAAGCCACCAGCTCTAGGGTCTGTTTAACTTGGCCACTAGACTCCCGCTTAGCTCAAGAACGTAGGCAGTAAAGGGATAACTGCTTGAATACTAAAGTAGATGTCCACGGCAGGTGCTTTTTGAACAGAGCCGGCCTTTTAGAGCATTTTGATTGTAATAGTTAAGGAGCCGGTGGCAGTCAGCACATAGTCCGCCACTGCTTGGCATTATGTTTGATGTCTAAATGCGGCGCCAGTGCGTTCACAAATAGGGTAGTCTTGGTTTCCCGAGGGAACCATAATTCTATCTTGAAACTCCTGCCGCTGAGTGCAGTAAGGATGTACACCCAGCCATGCCCGACGCAGTCCGGACACTTGGTGCTCACTACGCAATTTCTGATCTTTGGCTTTTTAGACACTCTCAAATTCTTAGGAACGAAATTACAGCCAGTGTATCCCAACCGAGTACTGACATCCAACCGCCACGACAAGGTGTTAGGTTTAGATGGGGAATGCAGGCAGAAGAGCAGCAGAATGTCCCAAGTTCCCAATAGCCGAATGAATAAATGAATGAATGAATGAATGAATGAATGACGGCCGTATTAAACACAGACCAAATGGGATCACGAAGCACACCATCTGGCACCTTTGATGGAGCGCTGTGGTCTTTTGGAAGTTCCTGTTTTATTACTTGGTTGAGTGACGACCACAATAGTAGAAATTCAGATTTTCAAACCGTATTGTTGACCGGATTGTTTGTTGAAGTTTCTTAATGAAACTTTTCGAAAGGACTCAATGAGCCAATAACCCATAAGAGTGAGACCAGCTTTATTTAACCTCCACCATCGGGACACTGGATGGGACTCACGATCATGACACTAGGGTCCTGCAAGACCGTGACTGCCGTTTAGTGGCTTGAAGACTTTGAATGAGCGCGCCCATTGTGCACGCGAGAGATAATAACCTAATGTATGGCACTGGTCTCACAGTTGAATGTAATTCAGCACACGATTAGCATGCATCGTAGCTGTACCTCATCGAACCGCGCAATCAAGCTCATCAAGAAGAAACTCCCGGATTAGGAGAATCCCATATTAGGCAAAATCGTAGTGAAATCTACAAGAGAGTCGAACAGCGTATTGATATGGATCATTGTTTAGTCCTAAAAAGCATCTTGAACCATTCTCAAAGTGCCCATACAGCAGCTGTCTTGGCGTGGATTTCACATTAACTACCAAGTTGTTGATCACGATGATTTCGGTCTCATACATTCTGACTTTATGGAACGCTTCGGATTTCAACATCCGGCCTCTCCAATGGATGCACATATTCCTCCTTGCACGTCACATGTGATGCCTGGTCGAAAAGTCCAAAAGCGCTCCAGCCTGGATCTCAAAATGTCTTATAAAAGTTGGACAACAAACTCGTACTATTCATGCTAAGGTGCTGACTGTCCCACAAAACCTTCGGAAATTTTTTAGATGGGGTAGCAGCCTTCAATATTAGCGAGTTCATTTGAGTGACACTAGTTCTGCGGGTGGCTATACTGCACTAAAATCTACGTCACTGTACTGGACAATGTTCTATTTATTACTGTTCAAATTTTCAGGTAACCTAATGTATCATAGTTAAAGAGGACTTGGAGTCACGCAAAGTAACCGCAGGAGAGGAGGGTGAAACGAAAAATTTTAGAACCAACAATGTAAATGAAAGACGAAGGTGTTCAAACATGCAGAGACTGAAGCGCGTGAAATAGATGTTTGTTCATAACCGGCTGGGTAACGTCGTCAGTAGAAACGGTGCTGACTGTTTTTAATTACTTTTTCAGGTGAACCTGTGCGTGTCAAACGACAAAACGATGATCCTTTATCCGAAGATGTTTCAGTAGGCGGAGCTGATGAGGAGAACGAAGCAGCGACACCTGTACCAGTAAGTGACTTTTCCAGATGAACCAATGAGTCATCTAATGTGGCGACTTCGGCTGCTTGTTTAACTTTCTTCTGAATCATATTGTGCGCTGTTTCAACACTTGTTCAACCAAGTCGCTTTCAGCACAAAATATATGATGTTCCAGTCATGACAAGACTTTTTCAATTTGATATCTATGTACCAATTCAGAGTGTGAAAGGACCAGGACCCTTTCTTCAGCCACCAGTCGTGACAGGTCCTCGTGGTCCCGCCGGTGAACCGGGGCTGCCAGGTCCTCCTGGTCCGCCCGGACCTCCAGGGAAGATTGGAGAACCTGGCCCACCCGGTCCAGCAGCCAGTGATGGAGTCCGTGGGCCTCCAGGGCCACCAGGTGATCCTGGACTTGACGGCAAGCCTGGTCAGGATGGAGACCCTGGCCTTCCGGGAAATCAAGGGCCACGTGGACCGCTGGGACCAATCGGGATGATCGGTGCAAACGGGATGCAAGGACCAATGGGACCACCTGGTCCCAAAGGAAGCAAAGGAGCTTCAGGAGCTTCGGGAGCAGTGGTGAGTCCCTTTTTTCTCAACTCTCTACTCTGCAGGTGCAAGATATCTAACTTGATACAAATATATTGTTGAAGTTAAGGTAGACAAATTACCAGTGGACGAGCATTTCTATCACTTAGAATACAAGACGAACCCAAAAAGTCCAACAAAAAGAGGCCATACACAAAGCAATACAGATACTAGTTGTATCAACGAGGAAGACGGACGTGGACAGTTCCCAATGCCTCAAACGTCACAGTCATATGGAACATCACAAAATAGCTGTTCACGGGGACGTTAGCTTAACAACTTAAGAACTCAAGAATTTTGTCCAAAACTGGCCAAACTGTTAACTTCTACAGCGACGCCACTAGTCAGACCGCCGCATTTATATAGCCCACAGTGAGTCAGGTTATCAGCACAAAGTAACGCTCTTTGAGACCACTGAGAAACGTGCCAATTCAGAGCGGCTGCGTGAGGTGAAGATTTAAGGCATAATGTGACTTTGAACGGAAAAGTTCATCGACTCTAGGTAACAAAGGAAAATTCATCATGCTCAGAAGATAACTGTAACAAGGAATTCTTACGTGAAAAGATTATAAACTGGTTTTAAACTCTAGTATTTCGCGAGGATGGATTTGGACATGGTTGAGTCACCATTCTTAATGCTTTGAAAGTGACAGTTTTACTCATTTAGGAGGCTGTTTGCGTCGTTCAGAGGGGGGGGGAAGACTTGTGAACCGTATTTTGAGAACTGAATAGACGGCATGCTTGTAACCGATTATGGACGGGTTCAACAAAAAATTACCGATATAAATAAAAAGCAACAGAATGGGCGTAGTGGCCCTTGAAGAAAGTAGGGTTTTTCGGAAAACACCGAAAAGTTTTGCGCACTCTAAGATATAACAATTTTCCAACCATTAGTCACACAATCGGGTATATATCACTGCTAATATCTCTTTGGAGGAAGGGTTTCAGTAAGCAAGCTGGACTAGAGCGTCTAGAACTAAGGCTGTTGTCCAGGAGCTATGCTTATCCGTGTTCAAAGCGAGAGTCACGGCGTTAAGTATACTACCCAACCAAAATTTCTCATCCGAATCCAATCTTTTCTGTGTTTGCTCCAGGAGGACTGTTTGGGAAGCTAGGTGAGAGACACTCATCTGGGTCATGTGAGAAGTCCTTCGGCGATCCCATCCCCTTGAGCATACCGAGGTGGACAAATGTGTCGTAGGAGAGAAGATGGAACTTTCACACTCCTTCAAAATAGCCAGGCATAACATGTGAGGACAAAAAACTTTATTAAGTATAAGCGGCACTTTTTGGGAAATCTCTGGTTAGGCTGACCATCTCTCGAGTAAACAATGAAGTGTTTTTAAGGTAGGACACAGATGTAGTCGAGCTGGTAAACTTCCGATTGGCCTTCGCAGCGTCAACTGCCGCACTGGCTTTGCTGCCACATATTTGCTTTCAGGCAGGTCACATGTCACGATTGCTGTTGTTTCTAAGGGGGTTTCAACGTGGAGACGTATCAATCGTTCTATCCTGAGAAAAGTTCCGATCTGTAGGTGAATCTAATTAGCGGCTAATGCTCTGATGCCATGTTGGAGTTAGAAGTCGAAAACCGAATTCGTGTGCAAATTAAAGTATTTGTCGAATTCCGTCCAAATTTTGTGGCACATAAGGTTGATAGAAAGAAGGGGACTGCATCTACCTGATGAACCCTAAGAAGGGCGAAATCGGTCGTTGGATTTCGAAGCGCTAAAATAGTGCCCTATGTTTAGTTACTTTTACTTCCTTTTAAGGACATAGTGATATAGGCAGTGTGATACAATTTGAAGCCTCAGTGACCAAAGACCACACCTGCCTTGATAAGAAAAACGAAAGAAACTAATGGGCTTGAATCACCCACCAGTCTCAGTGTGTCGTTTGTAAATCAATCCGAGTGTACCATCTGCAGTGTCGTGACACGCATTATCCTTGAGTTCGGTCAATATCAATAAAAATTTATATCTTTGTATCTGTCTTTCTTTCCAAAATTGTTTTAATTAGACAGGGGACAGTGTCACTCAGGCAGGTAAAAGTTGAGGCAATCGCAGTAAAATGCAAGACAGATGTACAAAACGGAATATTTAGCCGAACTGATAATATCCCGTTATATTCGTCAAGTCCCCCGATGGTCTCTTCTTCACAGTAACGATGAAGAACCGCATGGATAGTACTGAAGTAAAGGCTACAATAAGTATTTGAAGACAGTGCTTTGATGTACCTAGCGGACTCATTTTCTAATAGACATATATCGAAACTGTTTAAAAATCGCCCTGAACTGAGTGTGTAGCAGACTTTGAGTGCAAAGTAAGGTTGAGAGAGATGTATCGATCCTACTCAGAAGGTCTGTGCTAAAGTACAGAGGAGGTTTAGGAAAGTCTGGTTGGTGTAGCTGGACGAATTTTCTATCCGAGAAAAGCTGAGTACAAGGACCGCAGTGGTCGTGGTAAGTGAACAAAGTTTCGTTAGGGACTGTAGTTTTTATGGGAGAAACAAGTAATCTTATATTTGCTATTTAAGTTGTGTATGACATTGGTTCGTTTGCACCAAGCTCAATAACAGTAGCTGCGAGATTGGCTGAATTCGACTTTGCGTCATTCTCGTTTGACCAACCGTCTTTCTGGACCTACAAAACAATTCTTCTGTAAACTGAAGGGAATGACGTTGTCGGGCAGGAAGAGGACGGTTCAAAGGGGAGGATGCAAACCAAGGTTAGGAAGTTCACCGGGCAATCTCGATGTCTGAACCGTCTCTAGAATAATCAAACCACCTTTACTAAGTTCGTTTCAAGGTAAGATCTGATAGTTAGTGAAACTTTGTGAATAATAGATGGAAAGTGATTTATTTCTCTCGTGAAACAGGTGTTTTAGTGGTGTCAAGGTACTTGAGAATCGAAACGGACAAATTGACTGACTCGATGCGAGGTGAGTATTTGAAAAACTGGGTCATACTGGTAGCAGCGTAAAGAAACAGTTCGTTCTGTATTTTACTCTTGAAACGTAACTCGCTTTCTTGATGACAGACTCGGCTTGAAGTAGATCTTAAGTTTCATCTCCCTTCAAAGAAGATGGTGTTTATCTCCTTTAACTTTGTTTCCTCCATTTTAATTGTATAGAAATTTTCTGCATTCTGTTTATTCTTATAGGGTGAGCGTGGAGAAACTGGCATACCTGGACCGATGGGTCAACCTGGTGTGAAAGGTCCTCTCGGACTACCTGGGCCTCAAGGCCCGGTCGGTCCAACTGGTTTTCAAGGTTCTGATGGCTTGATTGGACCAATGGGACCCTTTGGTCCTCAGGGTCCTCCTGGATCAACTGGAATGATGGGTCCGGTTGGGTTGAAGGGCGACGATGGTCCGTCCGGTGCCGCAGGAGCTGCCGGTGACCCCGGAGAACCCGGACCAGATGGGAAAGCAGGTCCCCCTGGAGAACGAGGGGCCCCGGTGGGTTACAAGTTCATATTGTAGTGTCTGGTTCGCACCAATATGGCACTCGCCTTAGGTCCACTATTGTGACAACCGGAACGAGGTTTGATATTCAATTTGCATTATACTGTAGATGGCAGTCACTTAGTCGAATTAGCACCCACACATTTTCGCCAGCTGCAGGGTTTTGATATCATATACCGAACTGCATGTCATAGCTGAATTAACCAGCGTTTCCAGATAAGCTGGGGTATTGAACACGGATTTCGCACCTTCCACTGATGGGAAAAATGCATACTGCCAACCGTTAGTTTATTTTATCAGTCAGTTGAAACACCGACTCACCTCTTTTGCGTCTCATCTGTATGACGTACATCTAATACCGTTATTGGGCCCTCATGTATTCGGATAAACGTGTTATATTCGACCTTTATATCGAAAATATTCATGAACTCCATGAGAGCCATTAGTCATTGATGCCATCTATTAGAACTAGTAAACTAGCGCCACGGTTCTTGTTTCATAGTACGATAGCAAGAATTCTTGTGTGATGAGCTCCCATAGCTAACCCCGATCGGAGTGCACGGATTGAGTAGTCTGAATTACCGCAATCTCCCAATTGGTATCCGTGTACAGTGGTTGCTCAGTTCCTAAGTTTGCAATGGTCCGAATAATACTAGCCGGTATACGGTGTATTCGCGTTGGCTAAGGGTGATCGTTCGTTGAAGAGAACCCGCGGTCAATCGCATCTCCCATATCATCCTGAAATTTCAGGGTTTTGCTGGAAAAGACGGACAATCTGGACCGAAAGGAGAACGTGGAAGCCCAGGGCCAATGGGACCTCGCGGATCTACAGGAATGCGTGGACCTCCGGGTGGGGCTGGTGCACAAGGTTCTATTGGACCAAAAGGTTCCCAAGGCATTCCCGGCCCCATCNACCTCGCGGATCTACAGGAATGCGTGGACCTCCGGGTGGGGCTGGTGCACAAGGTTCTATTGGACCAAAAGGTTCCCAAGGCATTCCTGGCCCACAGGGACCTACAGGACCCCCAGGACCCATGGGTCCTCCTGGGGATATGGGCGATATGGGTCCTTTTGGACCAGTCGGTGATATGGGCAAACAGGGTCCTCGTGGTCCAATGGGGGAGCGGGGACCGAAGGGTGACACTGGCATGGTGGGTGCACCAGGGATGCCTGGAAATCCTGGACTGGATGGACTGCCAGGTAAACCTGGGGATCAAGGTAAAGATGGAGAACCAGGTAGGCCTGGACTAAGAGGACCTACTGGACTACCTGGAGCTCCTGGAAAAGATGGTGAACCTGGACCACAGGGATATCAAGGCCAAAAGGGCATGGATGGTGCTTCAGGACTTCCAGGAGGTATTGGTTTACGAGGTCCTCCTGGAAAACCTGGAGATGATGGTGAAATAGGTGCGGCTGGACCTCCCGGACCACCTGGACCACCTGGACCTTCGGGAGCACCTGTAAGTTTTCGAACGTTTTTTACAGCTTTTATTCGCTTCGTGACTGATATGCTCAGGGTAGGAGCCGGTAAAAGAAATGTGTACTTATTATTTATTTCATCCTACACGCACTAAGCTCAGAAAGCTTGTCTTCTGACCGTATCCTGTCATATTTTGCTTTGATTCATGCTCCGAACTAAACTGGCCTCACATTTTCCGGTCGACGCTTCCAAACAATTGTACAGCAGGGTTGATTGCGTTTGCTTGTTGGAGACACTATTCATCAACTAAAGAAAACCACTTTCGAGTTATTCGTCCATTTTGGATGTCACTATGCTGGAAATCGTTCATTCATTTTGTTCTTTTGCTCTGGTTGTCACTTGTATCGGTGAGTCCAAAGTACCGGTAACGCAATGACGCAGTTACCATCTTTGATGCTATCTTTACTGTATGTCAGCCTTAGATGAGCCGACCTCAAACTTTAGACAACCAACCCGCTTCGTCTATCAATCAATGCCTAGGTTTTCAGGATTACTGTTACGCTACAGCATTGTGAAAATGTGTTTCTTAGCAAGATTTTGGACCCGTAGTTATGTGTGTGTGTGTGTGGAATTGAATGACGACTGGAGCAATTGACGGTGAGAATTTTCTCACCGGACTAGTGGAAAACATCCCCAATAATTTTCTATTACAATTCTTCAGATTTGTTTCCCCTTCCAGAACTTCAGTGGACCCCGTCACGGAGATCGCCTTGGAAATTGGGAGCACTGTGATTAGTTACCATGTGAAGAGAATTACTTACATATGACTGCAGTTCAGATGAACAAATTCTGGGTTCCTTTTGCTTTATCCTTCTATTGTTGAGGTGTACGTTGACTGGAAACTTCAAATTTCCTTGCAGTTTGAAAGAGTCATCCACTAATTACAGCTTTTTAATTGTACACAACAAGTAGTAAGCCTTGATCAACGTTTATACCTGTGTCTTATTATACGCTCTGGTCACACAGGGCCCACGAGGAAACCGAGGAATTGTTGGAGATAGCGGTGAGATGGGTGCACCTGGAGAACAAGGTAGTCGTGGAACTCCAGGAACGAGAGGACGTCGTGGAAAAATCGGTCCACCAGGACAACAAGGACAAACAGGTCTTTCGGGCGAACGAGGGCCACCTGGACCTATTGGCCCCGCCGGTGAACAGGGGGCCAGCGGACCGCCTGGAGCCCCAGGTGGGAAAGGACCGACAGGAAGGGATGGTAAAGTTGGAAGTGATGGAAAGCCAGGTAGTCGTGGTCTAGCAGGACTTCCTGGATCAGTTGGGGAGCGTGGCCCTCCAGGACCAGAAGGCGAACCTGGTTATGTAGGGCTAGCCGGACCGAAGGGAGAACCTGGCGCACAAGGTTCACCTGGTCGCATCGGTATTGCTGTAAGTTAGTTGAATAATATGCTCACTTCATTGACGTGGCCTGCAGCCGTATCTCATTGTTTCTGAGTATTTATTCCGCTTTTAACCCAATGACTCATCACATAAACCGTTGCAAGCCTTCAAATTTAACTATGTGAGCTCCTTTCCGCTTCACAACTGATTTTTGTCTACTGCACCGTTCCTCCAACCAACTTTTGTCTTGCTCCAACTGTTTTGTTTTCACACTTCCACATATTAACAGGGCTCGCCTGGTATCCGCGGAAATGTCGGAGCGATGGGAATGCGGGGTGACAAGGGCCCCCGAGGTCCTCCAGGTGAAGATGGAATTCGCGGAGAAGATGGTGAACAGGGTGAGATGGGGCCACCTGGAGAACCTGGCCCACGCGGCCCCTACACACTGCAAGGTGTGTCCCAACAGTTATTGTTGGGACCAAAAGGAGAGAAAGGTCAACCTGGCTACCCAGGTCCAAGAGGTCGACCTGGAATTCCAGGTGAGAAATAAAACTGATATCCTCAATGACGGTGTAGAATCCGAGTGGCTCAGGACGCTACAGGGTACTTGAAGCTATCGTACTATAGACGGTCGGTATTCGGTAGGTATTGGGAAGTAGGAACAGATGGAAGAGGGGAGTGGAAAATGCGTACATTTCGATAAGTTCAAATGTCATGTACGGTCCTAAGATATACGGATTCCGTGTATTCAGTCAACAACAGCGCAAGCCGGCAGACAAAGTATAAATGTCGTTCAGAAAAAGAGGGAGCAAATGTTGCTGGTCTTTATCTACAATTTCAGGTAACAAAATCCACTGAAATCGACACTTCAAGGCGAGGACTGATTTACCCGTTTGCCTTTGGTAGCAGCTCACCGTCTGACTTAAAAAATACTTCAACTTTTTCATAAAGGAAACTATTCAAAATGTTTCTGAAAACTTTTCGACAGCCCACGACCAGTTTCGTCCTTCTTGGGGCTCATCAGGTAGGCGCAGTCTCCCTATATTTTGATCACCACATCAATGAATCAGTTGATGCGTCTGTTTCATGTAAAACTGACCAAAATGGCGTTTTGTAGCAATGTAAGTTTTTCAGCTAGTCAAGTGGGTTCCCCACTACAGACGCCGAATTACTCGCGCTTCCGGCAGTACTATCTCCGTGAAGCAGCAACTACCATTGTATTTCCTAATCGCCACGTGTTGTAGGACGCTGGAATGAAACAACCTCACGTAATACATATCTCTATTGCCATATATATATATATATATATATATATATAT